GCTGGTGGGGAGGGTGCTCCTGTTGGGGGTGCACGTGGCTCACAGAAGCTGCGTCTTGGGGGGCTGCTCTGGGACCCTACGAGCTGGACTTTGACCCTACCCTGCACCATGCCTCCTGCTCACAGGACCCATCTGTATGGTGCTGTCTATGAGAAACCCAAGTTCATCCCCACAGCCAAAGGGAAGTTGGTCCAAGTCGGGGGTGAGTTCCTGGAGCAGGTATTGACCCAGCGCTGGGCACACCTGCGACCTCCAGACACATGTCCCTCCTGTGGGCGTGGTGACCCCCATATTCCATTCCTCTCACCCCCCGGGGGTTGGGCAGGTTCAGCACAATCTGGTGGGAGGCATCTCAGAGTGAAGAGCCCCAGCCACCAGCGGGGTGACACCCGCACCGTCTCTGAAACTCATCCTGAGTGACCGGGACTCTGTCTACAGCCAGGACCAGACCCTTGGGGAAACCCCTGGGGCCAGAGCACTAGCCCAGCTGCCCGAGCTAACCCCGTGCAGGGTCTGCTGCCTCAGCCCATTTCAAATGCCTCGTTTATGTTTTCCCTTCTTCCCTCAACCTTTCGGGCCCCTGCCCTCCCGGCCCATCCTCCTGCCTTAAGGGGTCAGTCCCTCACCCCAGTGCTGGCCGGGCGGGCGCGAGGGTCCGCCCCCAGGTGGGCGAGCCTTGTGGAGAAGCCCTGTGCCCACAGCTTGCTCAGGAGTCCCACGTGTTCACGACCAAGGGCGGGTCTGCGAGGCCTGGTGAGGGGCAGCCGCAGTGTCTGTCTCCACAGACGCCTGCAAGGTGGCGCGGGTGGCTGTGAGCCCGGCCGCCTTGTCTGGCCTGGTGGCCAGCGCCCAGCAGTTCCGGGAGCAGAGCCAGGCTGAGGTGTGCAGCAGGGACAGAGCCCTGATCTTCGGCCTGGTGAGGCCCCAGCCCAAGCCCAGCTGTCAGGGCTGCCACACTGTCAGGGGACCGGGACCCCCGCCTGGCCGCAGTAAGGGGGGGAGCTGGACAGGGACCCCCTCAGCGGGTACGGGGCACCGACCAGGCACTGCGGGACACCCAGGCCGGCCTCCCTGCTGGACAGGGGCCAACTCTTCTTTGAATTCCTGAGCCCAGTCTGGTGCAGACACCTCCATGCTGTGAGCAGAGGATCCCCGTGGGGCCGGGGGTGCCCAAGAGGGGTGCTCTCAGAGGGGTGGCGGGAGAAACTGACCATCACTGAGCGTGGTCTGTGGGGCCCAAGGACGCTGGTGCCGAGGCAGGTGGTGGGTCCAAGGCGCTTCATGTGCTGCTGAGCTGGGCCCTGGCCACCAGGCTGCCTCCGGAGTGGCCTGTCCCTGCGGGTCCCCACACAGTGGGGTTGGCCCCTCTGCTCTAACCAGATGCATCCCATGTGGTCCCCTGGCACCTTCTGATCATGGGCTGTCTGGCTTTGGACAGAAATCAGAAGGCGCGAACCCTGAAAGGCAGAGGTACCCTCTCCTGAGACTCAGCGACATCCTGAAGGCCACGGAGGACTACCTGCGCCCGCTGCTCTCGCTGCTCCGCAGCCCGGAGCCCAGGTCCCGCGCCGGGTGCTCTCTGGGCGTCAGGGCCTGAGCTCTGCACACCCAGTGGGGCTGAGCCACACCCCTCTTCCTCTGCTCCCGCTCCCACGGGACACCCTGTGCTTCCTGAGGGTCTCTGCACCCCCAGAATGCCTGCACCCCCAGAATGCCCGGCTCTGTCCCACCTGCCGTCTGCCATTGGGAAGAAGTCCCGCTCCTCTCACACCGTCTGCTGGGGTGTGGGCGGGACAG